AACAGAATAAAATAGAGGAACAAGACACAAGTCAGTGTACCCTCTGTAACCTTGTTTTAGCCAAAGATGTCAAAAATAAGCATTGGAGAAAACATCTTCAATAAATGGCGCTGGGAAACCTGGACTTCAAGATACAGAAAAATGAACCTAAATCTTTATCTCCTACCCTGTACAAAGCTCTAATCAGAATGTATCAGGAACATTAGTATTAAACCTAATACTATGACATGGCTAGAGGAAAAGGTAGGGTCTCTGTTTCAATAGACAGGTGTAGGTAAGGACTTCCTGAATAGGAATTTTATAGCACAGAAAATAAAAGCAACCATAAAAGTGTCATTTCATAAACATGTACATGTACAACAAAGAAAACTCAATTCAGAAAAGAAGCAACTTAAAGAGTGGGAAAAACTTTTCACCAATTATATAGATGAGAGAGCATTAGTGGCTAGAATATACAAAAAAAACTGATTAAGAAAACAAACAACCTGATTTAAATATAGGCTGTAGAAATGGAGAAAATTTCTAAAAAGTAGAAATATGAGTGGCTACTAAGCACTTACTCATATACACAAAATAAATAAATAAATCTTTAAAGAAAAACATTTTCAGCATCTTTAGCCAATGGGGAAAACAGTTTAAAATGATTTTCTTATTGATTCTCTCCACAGTCAGAATGACAATCATCAAGAGCAACAATTGACAACATATACTGTTATGATTTGGCAAAAGCGGAAATCTTACACACTGTTGATAAGAGTGTAAGCTAGTGGAACCAGTGCAGAAGTTCAAGCTGTAAGTTACTAAAAACTAGAAATAAATCTGCTATGTGACCCAGCTCTACTGACTCTTGCGAACACATTCAAAGTAACTTACTCCTCCTATATAGATATTTTGTTATATATACCAAGTAAATCAGAGACACACATCTGTGTTCATTGTTGCTTTAATCCTAAGAGTTAGCACATGGAATCAACCTAGATAACAATCAGCTGGTAAATACAGACAATGTGATACACAGTAGTATCACTTATCTGTAAAGAAAAATTAAATCATGAAACTTGTAGTTAAATAGTTGGAAAAACACCCATACATATATATGCGCGCACACACACACACACACACATACATATGTACTAAAGTGTGTTAATCATAACTAAGGATGTATGAAAATGCCTCACAGAAGCCTATGAGTTTGTAAGCTAATTAATCATGTTACATATTTTTTAAAGGAATTTGAGGCTAGGCATGGTTATTGATGTCTTTAATGTCAGCATTCAGAAGACAGAGGTCTACACATCTTTGTGAGCTCAAGGCCAGCCTGATTGACATAGTGAATACCAGGCCATCAAAGACTGCATAATGCAACCCTATCTCAAGAAATGGGGTGGGGGTAATATTAAAAGAGATACTAATGAAATCCAGAAGACTATAAAGAAGTACTTCAAAAGCCTATATTCCATCAAATTGGAAAATATTAAAGAAATGAATTTCTGATCATCAAGCATGGGCTATTGTTCTATAAGTTATTAGTCAGAGAGGCTCCAAAGGTTTCCAAAACAATGCAGACTTTTGGATTGCTCCTGATTATCCACTATAGCTGGATGGTAAGATTATTGATAAGACAGCACACACTTTAGTATAGGACATAGAGAAATAATGCCAGAACCTATAGGTTCTAGCTACTTTTCACTGTACCAGAAGGTACTATGCAGGCTTCTGGGGGAGAAAAGATACAAATCTTCTTACCCAACACTAGACCATACATTCTATAAGACTGGTTAACCTGCCAAATAAGGTGTTCCAACCGATGTATTAGAAGTATGACTGTTTACAGGGTAGCCAATGGCTTTCTGATTGGGTTGCAGGAATGTCTTACAGAAAGCTCATTACTAGGTAGGTCATAAATCCTAGGGGGTGAACCTCTTATTGTTATAAATGGTTTTGCTGCTGAACTGTCTTCTAAACATTTATGTTTATAGTTATAGATCTACATTGCTCTCAACTTTCATCAGAGAAACTTCTTTCTGCAATGCAAAGATTCATAACTAGGCAGTTTTCTAAGAATACATCACTGAGTGCTCAATCCTAAATTGGACATCTATATCAATTACCTGCATACCTTGGAAGGCTCAGGGAACAACAAACTCTTCCTTGATTGACAGAAAGACTGTAAGAGCAAGAAGATAGGGAGTAGTTCTGTGAAATGCAGTTTTCTGGACATAATTTGACGGTTGAGTGTGTGAATTAATATCAGATGTGGTTATTTTCACAAGACCTGTACAAGATCAAATCAAAGAACACTCCAGTATAAATGAAGGATGGACTAATGAGACCCCATTCCTAGCTGAGGAGCTATTGTCAGTTCATGGCTACTTGAGGAGGGAAAATCTGTTTTCAGTGGATGGCCTCACATCTATGTGCATATAGGCAGCATATACCAGATTCATAGGATATAAAAAAATCATCAAGTTGGGAAGGAAACATGTTAGTGTGTCTAAGAAAGTCAGAAGTGAACAAAGGGGAATATTATATGCATATATGAAATTCTGAAAAAATTTTTTAAAAGATTTAACAGGTTTATTTATCATTATTATAAAGTTGAACTGTTGAATGTGTTCACTGACACACTTTTCTTGCATTAATATTTTACATCTTGCATTTATATTAAAAATTCACACACAAAGGAAAACAGAAAAGCTGCTAATACCTGGTTTTTGTTCCCTATTTTTCCACTTGCAATTATATATTTGGTACGTTTTAACCCCATGAAAAAATATCTAATGTTCATAACTGCTGATAACAGAAACAAGAGAATTTTTTGTTTATTGTTTTTTTCTTTTGTTTTGTTTTAAACAGTTTTTATTTTTTTGAATTTATTATTGGATATTTTATTTATTTACATTTCAAATGTTATACCCTTTCCAAGTTTCTCCCTGCATCAGTGAGGGTGCTCACCAACTCACCTATGCAGTCCTGCCTACCCACCCTGGCATTCCCCTACACTGGGGCATCGAGCCTTCACAAGGGCCTCTCTTCCCATTGATGTCCTACAAGGCCATCCTCTGCTACATATGCAGCTGGAGCCATGGGTCCCTCCATGTGTACACTTTGGTTGGTGATTTAGTCCCTGGGAGCTCTGGGGATCTGGTTGGATGATTTTGTTCTTCCTATGTGGTGTCAAGCCCCTTCAGCTCCTTCAGTCTTTTTTCTAACCCCTCCATTGGGGACCCCTTGCTCAGTCCAAAGGTTGACTGTGAGCATCTGCCTCTGTATTTGTCAAGCTCTGGCAGAACCTCTCAGGAGACAGCTACATCAGGCTCCTGTCAGCATGCACTTCTTGACATCCAAAATAATGTCTGGGTTTGATGTCTGAATATGGGATGGATCTTCAGGTCGGGGAGTCTCTGCATGGTCTTCCCTTCAGTCTCTGCTTCACACTTTGTCTCCATGTTTCCTCCTTTGAGTATTTTGTTCCCCCTTCTAGGAAGGACTGAAACATCCATTCTTTGGTCTTCCTTCTTCTTGAGCTTCATGTGGTCTGTGAATTGTATCTGGGTATTCTGAGCTTTTGGGTTAACATCCACTTATCAGTGAGTGCACAACATGTGTGCTCTATTGTGACTGTTTTACCTTACTCAGAATGATATTTTCAGGATGATAGTTCCATCCATTTGCCTAAGAATTTCATGAAGACATTGTTTTTAATAGCTGAGTAGTACTCCATTGTACAAATGTACCACATTTTGTGTGTGTGAATTCACATCACATACGCCAATTCTACTGAACTCCTCCACCCTTCACATCTGCCCCCCACCTTTTGCAACCTCACCCCAAACAAAAAAAATCTCATTGTGGAAACTGTAGTATGTCATAGTATATCCTACAGCATACCCTTTTGACAGTACTTCTTTGCTTATAAATGTTTATTGCAAGAACTTGTTGGTGTGGTACCAGGCCTCTGGCTTCTGCTACTCTATCAGTACTGATAGAGTTTTAGAACCCACTAAAACACCTCTCAGATACCCTGTTTTTGCTTTGTTTCATGGAGATCATGTAGTTTTGGATCTGGAAGACTAGTCTGTTCATACACGCCAGCAGTTCATCAATGGAGTACATGTTGGGGTGAGCCAATTCAAAGCCCCAGATAAGGTCCTGATACGTATCTGAGATGGTCAGCTCTCTGGCTATCTTGTTCTCATGGCCTCCGAGCCAGCTCACCTGCAACTACAACAATCAGGGCCAGCTCTACCCTGCTGCCTGAGCATGTTGCAGGGCCTAAGAATGTTGCACTCAGTAAGAGACATGGCCTGTCATCCCACTCTCATAATTCCAAGGCCAGCTCTTCTGCCTGCCATAGTTGATGAGGGACAAGAGAGGAGAGGAAGGCATCTCTCCCTTATAACTACCACTGCTTAGCAGACAAGAGGTGAAGCTAAGGGCAAAATCAGCTCTCCTAGGATGTCCAAGAGAGGAGTGGGGCCAGTTCTGCACAGCCCTAAGACATCAAGTTCCCTTGTGTCAGCCTAGACCAGGGTTGCCCACCTACCTGGCCTTTGGTAGTAACAGACCCCTGCTGCTGCACACTCATGGACCTAATCCTGGTTGTCTGGGTCTCACTCCCAGCCCAGCCTGTTGGAGTGGCCTGTTGAGAGAGTTGTCTGTATCAGGCTTCCAGACCTGTATGGTACAGGACAGGTGGTCAAATCAGCCTAGCTCCTTGACTAGGCCCTCCAAAGCTGGATTGATGGTCATTTCACCTTCCATTTTTAAGTTTTTATTTTTATTTATTTATTTATTTTTTTAAAGATTTATTTATTTATTTTATTTATGAGTACACTGTAGCTGTCTTCAGACATCCCATAAGAGGGCATCCAATCTCATTACGGATGGTTGTGAGCCACCATGTGGTTGCTGGGATTTGAACTCAGGACCTCTGGAAGAGCAGTCAGTGCTCTTAACCGCTGAGCCATCTCTCCAGCCCAAGTTTTTATTTTTTAATGAATGTTAGGTTACTAATAATTCAGATGTTCACAAGTCGGAACACTGATCTTAGACATCGCCTCTCTCCTTTCTGCCATTTACTGATGCACAGGTGACTCAGCAGTCACACCTAAAAATATCTCTAGGGGCAGGCTAAAAAGGGTTTGGTTTGATTTGATTTGTTTGGTTTGTTGGTTCGGTTTCAATTTTTCGTTTTGTTTGTTGTTTTGTTTTGGCTTGTTTGTTTTGAGAATGAAATGTTTTCGCTCATAAGAGTGAATTCTTAAGCATGTTCCCCACATTCACCACATATGCCAAAAGATTGGGTGTGGTTAGTACATAGTTTCGTATCTTCAAAAAGGCCAACCAGGTAGGCCTTACTTGCCTCCTGCAAAATAACAGTAGCTAGACTCTGGAAGAACAGATTTGCTTTGAAATCCCGAGCGATTTCTCACAGAAGATTCTGGAAGGGGAGCTTGAGAATCAGTAGACTTCTGATAGCATCTGATTTCACAGTACTAGGCCTGTAATGATGAGGCTTCTTCACTGCTTCAGTAGAGGATGCACTCTTGGTAGCATATTGTTTCCTGTGTACTTTACCACCAGCGATTTGCAGGCAGTCTCCTTTGTAAGAGACATGTTATGGGAACCTCCTTATATCCCTGGAGTTAGAGAGCTTGATGGACAGTGGAAGCTGTGAACACAACTTCAAGATGGCTGATTCTGAGACTGCCTCTTAAAATATATGTGTTTTTTTTTTAAATCATGTGTTTAGATTGAACTTCCTCAGCCATTATGTTGCTGGATCTGGAAACTTGTCTCCATTCCGATTTTGCAATCCTTTTAATTTTAAAATTACATTTGAAATTTATTTGCAAGATATTTATTTATAATAAGTATAAATGTAGCCAATGATAAAAGTGTAGATGCCTCAATAGCTTTATAAATTGTGGAAGGAATTAAGGTGGGCTGGAGTGCAAAGAAAGAATGACTTCCTAAGGGTGAGATTGGGAAAAGTGCAAAGAAGCAGATGAAAGGTCTAAAAGGACAATTCAATTGTTTTTTCCCTCACCAACTGCCTCAATCTTTTTGTTATGTTAGATATTATGTCAAATAATATGTTAAATATTTCCCATGCATTAAATTTTGACTTTTTTCACTATTTTGCCTTTACTCCTAAGTAAAATCTATTCAGGTTCTATTTAATGGCTAGAGTTTTTACAGTTAGGCAGAAGTGGAGGAATTGACTTGTCTAAGATCTGACTGGGGACTACAGATACTGGCACAGAATCACCTCAGGAAGGTAGGCTAGGTCAAAGTGGAAAGCGTAAAAGAGTAGGCTGGAACAAGGAAATGTCCAAAATGAAAGGGCATGTACCTAGCAACTGTGGTCTAGGAAGCAAATTTGGGTAATAAAACCAACAGTGTTCTTAAGATAGCACTAAATGCAACAGTAAAGAAAGCTTCTGAGGGGGAGGGAGAGTGTAGGTTAGCTGGTAGAGGCTTGCCTTGCATATATGGGGCCTGAGAGAAGTCCCCAGGAGTCATAAATCAGGCATAGTAGAACAGGGCTATTGAAAGGAAAAGTACAAGCTCAGGACCCCGAAGACCAAGTTCTCAACACAAAAGATATTTATTTATCACCTGGTGGCAGAGGCAGGGGATAAGAGACAAGGACAGGAAATAGAAAAAGAGAAGAGGAAGGAAATAAGAGAGAGGAAAAAGGGGGTATTGCTCTTTGGGGAGAGGGGCAGGGGACTTGAGAAAGTACTGCCTTTGAATAGAAAGGAGACAGACATGACCCATAGGAAAATGGTGTTTTATAAAGATACAATAGGAAATCTCATGTTAGGATGAGGTGTTTTATTTTAATTGGGCTTGTTAGTTGATTTGTAGGGGGTTCTTGATAGTTGGACTTCAATACTTTGATAGCTGGACCTTAGTAGATAGAATCAAGGAGGCCGAAGTAGCCAAACAAGGAAATGGACCTTAATGGTTAGCTTTAGGAATGTAATCTAAGCAGTTTTAGCAAGACGGAGGGAATAGGGAGGAAAAGGCCTGCCAGAGCCATGCTCACCAGGATCAAGCTGCCCAGAGTCCCTCTATCTATAATCTCTGCAACTGAACTGAGATGGAGTCTAGACAATCAGAAATTCAAGTTATTCCTCTGGTGTACAGAGTTCCAAGCTAACCTGGGGGGAGGAGAGAGAAGAGTATATTTGGGTACAAATAATATTGTTTTTTCTAATCTACTGTCTTAGAGTATGTACTTTTAACGAGAACTGGAATGGTAATTTAGAAAATATACTATGAAGAACAAACATTATGGATCTGTTCAAGTAATGTACTTTATTATTTAAAATAGTAAAATCACACTTGTTGCTTAGTCTGCATCAATCCCCTTACTCTAAAGTAGATTAGAGAATAAGCAATGTACCTTTAATAAAAAACAACATGATAGATACAATAAGATTGTATAATACACAGTACTGGAAAACAGAAATCGCATCAGAGATATGAATAATAGAATATTTAAACAGCAATTGATACAAGGCTGTATACAAGGGTAAAATGAATATGAAGTATAATATGTTGCAAACATTCAGAACAGGAAGTGAGTTCAGAAATGGAGTAATTAGATGAGGCTCACCAACCCAGGCAGGCCTTAATGATTCTGGTAGGAAGAAAATGTTAGAAAGAACATTCTCTAAATTCCTTAAAGGCAATGTGAACACAAATGTCTCCTAAAGCATGCCTGACTAACCAGAGTGAATTCTCCACAACTCTCCTTCATTTTGAATTCCAAAAATTGCTGCTTCCTGCTTCCTTTATGCCCTGCAGCCCGTAGCAGGAGATGGGGAATGAGGAACTCCAGATACAGAAAAGCCTCTGGGAACATTTTGTTAAGAAGGAAAAAACATGGCCACCCTGAGGCTTCACATTGGTAATCATTACTCAGAACAAATTTTCAGCCTTTCCTTTGCACATCTCTTTCAATCTATGAGGAGGCAAACTTCCAAAACTAAGGTTTTAATAAAGCCCTTTTTGTAGCGGGCCACAGGAAACAAAAGTGCCATTCAATAGCTTAACATTTGCTTTTGTTTGCAGCTCACAGAACAGCTGCTTTCTTGCTTGATAATAAATTTCAAGGAGTGTCTTCTCTTTTTTATAATCCATCAGAGTTTCTGGGAAAACATTGGAGTAAATCATGCAGCGAAGAGCCTGGAGTTATGTACAGTGTGACATTCATTTCCTACATTACACTTAATAGGGACAATATGCTCAAAAGAGTCACATAATTAGTTTCCTTCATTTCTGAGGCTCTTGGCAATAAAAAAGAAGTCAAATTTTACAGTAGTAAAGGCCAAGGCAACTTTCAGATTTAGTTACTGCCATACTTAGAAACAAATAACAATTGCTTAGGTAAAGAACTGACATATGATTTGTAACTCAAGGCATTAAATTTTAAATTAATAGTTCAGAGGGGTTGGGTTCCAAAGATCAGTAGGATAAATCTTTAGGCCATAAGCAAACTAAGAGCATGTTATAAAACTAAGAGTTATAAAAGTCTCCTAAAGATCCATGTCAACCACTGAAATTCTGTGTAAAATAGCCAAGATTTCTCTGAGTTATAATAGCAAGGTCTTACAATGTGTGAATTCCCAGCTTTTGCATATGAACTATTATCAGTATAAGCCCTTCAATCAGTATGTGGTAAATAAATGCTTTTTAGGTTAAATAGTTTACGTGGCTGAGCGGAAGTTTGACAAAAGCCAACTAACTGCACCAAAAGATAAAACTAATTATAAATCTGTCCTCTCTTTTTAAAATTTACTCATTTGTTCATTTATTTGAAAGCACATATAGACAATATATGGTTCTCCTTGCTTAAAATATAGATTGCATACCACTAAGAAACTTGAAATATAACCAACCACATTGAAGAAAAGAATGCTAAAATAAAAGTGTAAGTTGAGTGCAATGGCATATGCTTGCAATCCTAGTACTTGGGAGGCAGAAACAGAAGGATCAGTTCAAGGTCATCCTCTAATACATAATGAGTTTGAGGCCAGCCTAAGCAACATAAGACCCTGTCTCAAAATAAACAACAAAACAACAGTTGTTGTTTATTAACTCTTAACTATTTAATAATACAAAGGAAAAGAAGATGAAAATTTAAATTCATGAATTCCTGTGTTAGGTGTGCTTATTTCTTCCCCAAAGCAAGCCGTAGATATAGGCTTATTTTTTGATGAGATGTGGGAGGATCATAAAGGACAAGTGACTTGTTCAAGGCCACGGAGCTAAAAACTGATGAAGTTGCAGTGTAACCAAAACACTTTATTCCAAAGTTTATTACTGCAGTATATACCACATCAGATGTGGAATAATTCTTCATAGATGCTGAAGTGCTCACTGAATGAAGCAGAGTTAAGCATCCCACTGGAAGAGTGTAGGCATATCTATGTTTTGCAGCATTGTACTATAAAGATAGTCTATTTGTGCACAGTGCAATGTTGATGACATGTATTAAGGTGCAGTAAGAAAGCAACAAAACCTTCAATGGACATTTAAAAATATTTTCATCTTACATTCAACAAATGTATTCATATTGATATATGAATATGTATTTGAGATTAAAGTGTTTGAGAAACATCCAAATGGACTAGAAGAGAAGCCAGCTAGATCTGGGTGTCTGTAGGTCACCTGAAATGTTTCAGTTGGAAATATTATTTTGAGAGTCTTTAGCATAATTGAAGCCTAAAGTGTGACTGACTATGGCTGCCTCCAGAGAGAATACAGAATAAACAAAAGGGGCCTGGGAAATGATGCATAAGGGACCCCAAGCTCATCATTACCTTTGTACTGGGCTATAAAACTACCTGTTTCTTAAAAGCAGAAATGGTATAGAGAGGAAATCAGAGAGGACTTCACTAATGCTTTGATCAGACATTGGTCCTGAGCTTTGAAGTATGAGTATTGTTTCTCTCACTTATGAAAGTAGGATGGACAATTCAGCCTTACAGAGAGAAGTACAGAGCCATAATATCAAATGCTACATAGAGGGACTAACAAGTAAATCTTTATCATATTAATGCAACCGCTAGTGTGAGATCTGTTGTGGTGGCATATCCCTATGACCTCAGTACTAG